CCCCCCACACCGCCCGCCAGAGTGTAGTATTGTGGTTCGTCATGCGGGAGGGGCACAAAATACGAGGAGCTAGGGGTCCATGGCTTCCACGCCACGCATCTGCGGAGCCCCTGAAATGCGGCGGGTGTTACTGCTGTTCCGTGTCGAGTATCGATCGTGAAGGATTCTCGACGTCATTTGATCGCACTACTGGTATGTGATACGATGTCGATGTGACCTATACGCTCATGGGTTTCTGCCAACCCCTCCAGGAAGTGACATGTGAATAATGATGCAATATCCCAACTGAACGTATTTCAAAGCGGTGCTTTTGGGTCCGGTAGCAACTCCTCTGAGCTCACGACTGCTACGCGCACCGGCCTGGACTCTTTCATCTGTGGATGGATGAGCCAATCTGCTTTCGTAATAAACGTGAATACTATAATAATATCCTGTGTCAGGATCTTACGAAGTAATTTGTGGGACCCACTTTCTTCCCCCGCACGAGTTGATCGTGAGGGGGTGAAACGCATGTTCGGCTGGATCGACGTTGGGATTGTGCGGGTCTTACGCTGAGACCTTCTCTCAAGAAGGGAAAATCTTCTAGGTGGACCTGTTCTAATGCTGTCTCGACCTGGTTCGCACCCCGGATCAACTGGGAGAAGAGGGGTCTATCTCGTGGGAGGGGAAGAGTTGGGCCAAGTCGGTCTTCCTCGGGGTTACAGAATAGTTTTGCAACCGTCCCTTCTGTGCAAACGCACGGTAGGATTATGCTTCTTGTGGAACGTAGCCTGGGCCGACAGAAACCCGGCATGAAGTCGCCCGGTAAATGTAGGGATGCGAGGTCTACGGTTTATGACGACTACGGCATGCGTTGATATGAGTACACCCTCCCGTTTGTTTGCTGTGCTTCCCCGATGCGCGTTGGAGTTAACTGTATCTATTGACCAGATAGCGGCAGAAGGATTGGCAGTGGAATGAATCTCAAGTAGTCTCGGGGACATGAGCCTCATTTGCAGCGTGGTCTCCACGCAGGTCCTCTTGCTTACATTGTATGTGCGCAGTGCGCACGCGCAACTGCTGTCTCGCCGGTGTTTTTGTTTGAATCCAAGAAATGCTCAGAAAATACAAAACCACAGCAAGACTACTGCACGCGCCTGATGATTCTCAGAGGAAATGAATGCCTTGAGATGTCATAGACTACAGCAGTATTGTTTGTTTTGATTGTTTTTCTCCCATCATTGGACTCTGTCGTCTGCCCCTCTGGCCCCTATCCTCCACTTCTACTAGCTAGACGACCCAACCGGGGTCACATAGGAGGGGGGGGTTGGACCCCTCCTGCGGTTCATGTCTGAGGTATTTTTATCGCGAAAAGGGTACAGCAATCCCTTCCCTCGCGACTTAAGAAGTCGATTATGGTTTACCAACAAACGAGCTTTGCAGCGCGTCGCTTTCATCCTAGACCAGGATTTTTAATTTAGTGAGAAAAAAACTCTCTCTGTCGGGACTCGAACCCATGACCTGGCCCTTAGCAGGCTGCGAGGCTACCCACTAGACCACCGGGGCGACCGGTGTGTATGAACCCTGCTGAATACGGAGTAAGTTTCGATGCACGAGCCGCAACGTACAGCAGTACGAAGTCCCTTTCTTGTTCACTCAATTAACCCTCCTGGTAGTACCCAGTCCCTCCGCAAAATAAAAATGCCGATAACATGTTTGTCAGCCATTGGTCGAGGGGCTACAGGCCCTCCAAAGAATCTGAGCTAGTTGCCAGACAAGGGTGACTTGGCTTCAGTATTAAAAGTGTCCCCAACACAGGTGGACATACGGTTTAATGTGAAGACAACAACAACAAACAACACAGGTGGGCACACTTTTAATTCTGAAGCCAGGTCAGCAAAAAAATTCCAGTACCAGGCGATGGAAAGTTTCGGAAACTGGGGGGCACGCGGATCGGGAGGTGTGCACAGCATGTCAGAGGCCAAAGAGAGGCATCACACAGCATATATATCACACAGCGTACCACCTCAGCCAAGCATGACATACGAAGGGTTCTCATGTACGTTGTATACAGCGGAGCCTAGGTTGACTACAGTGCGGTTAATAGGCCTTTGAGTGCTGTGTCCCAAAGTGTCCCCAAATCGTCCCCCAAAAGGCTTCCAGTCCTAGGAGGGTTAAAAAGAAGACCCCCGGCAAAATCTCCCGGCACGTCACTGGCAACGCCACACAAGGTCAACTCGTGAAAATCGCAAAAAAACACGAGACAAGAGCCAAACAGGCTGCACACAAACATTGATATATCGTAGATCGCAGCAACTGTTCACATCGCAACAGCAGTAGCGGCGCGGAGATGAAATTGCGCTTCGTCTACAACCACCGAGGTGACAGAAGACACCACGTCCCCTGGACCGATTTTCAAAGCTCGACTCCTCCCACGACGGCGAGCATGCATGAAAGAACTAAGCCCAGCATCCAGCCGGTTTCTTCCCACTCACTGCTGTAGACTTGAACACATCCCTCCGACTGTTGTGCTGTCTCGAACGGGTGGTCTTTCTGTGAGATTATGGATACGTTCTAAAAAAAAACGGCACGTTTTCGGAAAGCCCTGGAGGAGATGGCTCCAACGTCGCCATTGTCGGCACTGCCACTCTTTCTGGCACAGATAGCGCCCGCACTTAAGAACTTAGCAGTTAAGAAATTGAGACTCGAAAAAATCAGAAGCTAAGAACTGGAGCACCATGTGTGAACCCGGTTAAGAACCCCTGCACAAAAACATATATTGCGGCCATTTGTAGCCCACAAGAGGACGATCAGCAAAATAAGATCCCCAGCCTCGGCCGAAACTAGAGGTTCTTCGGGCGACATCTGTGCGGAGAAATCCAGCTCTTAAAATCAGCCCAGGGCGCGTGGCATCTTTCTCATCTGAGACTGTAACTTCCGGGCAGGCTTGGTTCGGGTGCCACGAGACCGTGCTACGAGACCGCATGCATAGCCAGGAGGGGGAGTACGACGGCTGATCCCGCAACCCCAAGCCACCCTACAGCGTACCAGTATGCCCTAGCAATGCCCAGGAAATCACTGCCCTTGGCCAATGCACGGTCACTAGGGAAGGCGATATTTACGGCGTCTACCTATTTGCGAATGACTCGTATACACGGAGGCAATCGGCATGATGAGTCACCTCTCTCCTCCCCCGCGTCTTTCTCTATCGAATGGCAGGGCTCCGTTCTCTGATTACGGCTTTTCGCGAACCCCCCTCTTCCCCATCGCAAACACCTTTTTCAGAGTCGATTCCCTTCTTGTTTGTGCCCCCCCGCCGCCTCCCGCGACAACCAGGTTACCGTTTTTTTTTTAACGTCTGTTCTTTTTTTTTTGGGGGGGGGGGCATCCACAATGGTGGTCAGGTCGGTTCTTTTGCGCGGGGTCGAGAACCCTCACTCCGCGCAAGGGGTATGATCGCACCACGCTGTGTTATTAAATGGTCAAGCACCCTCGCGGCAGATACACAGTGCTTACAACTGTCTCAGGAAGTGAAGCACCAGAAAATAAATAAAATCATACGCAGCTGTCATCCGTATGCAAGGAAGAAAGCACAAAAATGCCGAACACCCCTAGCAGGATGCGGCGAACCCTCCATGCGGCTCGCCGAATACCTCACGGCGCTTCGCGCTTGGTGATGCGAGAGCGTGCTCCGGTGAGAACCCGGCGTGCTCCGTCTCGGTTTGTAGGGATGCGAGGTTAACGGTTGAACGACTACGGTATGCACGACTATGAGGATACCCCCCCCCCCCNTTCATGTTGTATTCACTTCCTCATTCGTCTCTCCCTGCAAACGACGCCGGCAACAACGACCTATCCCCAACTACTGCTGTACCACCATGAACAAATGGCCTCCGTGTTCAGGGTTCCGTCTTGCATGCTTTTGGTTCAGATTCGACTCACCCCCGCCAACAACTACTGCACCTCCTCCCCGACCCTAATTCTGTGACATTGGCTCAGACGACAGATCTCTGTTCTCTACGCGCTTCTTAGACTCCTCGACGATGATCTTCTCCAACTCCTCCACGTCAGTGCTCGCTTGTCGAAGCATCGAGCCTGTCGGTGAAAAGTGCCTGTCGATCGACTCCATCACCCTGAATGTGCTGTCATCCTGTTAACGGGGGGGAGGCGAAGCGGGAGGGTGTGTGCGTGTATACTCATCGCGTGGTCAGTAGACCATTGACCTCGCATCCCTACCAAGCCGGGACCAAGCACGCCGGATTTTCCCCGGACAAGGCTAGCACATCACCAATCGTGAAGCGCCGTGAGGTATTCGGCGAGGTTGGTGGGGGTTGGGGGGGG